CAGTGATAGAGTTTGCCCAGCATGTTTGAGACCTATATGTAATCTCAGCAACACACACACCAACACACACACACACACACACACACACACACACACACACACACACCTCTATAGTCCCAGCAGAAACAAAAAGGTGGTTACAAGTTTGAATCTTAGGTCCTGTCTAAAAAATAAAAATAAAAAATAAATACAATAACTAATTTATGATTTTATTTATCTGGACTTCATATGTAAGCAAAACTGATGAGATAGAAGTCAAATAGTTTTAATAAAAGAGGTGGGGTGGGAGTAGGGACTGGGGCCAGCCTGGATATAGCTCAGATTGTGGGTTGTGTGTGTGTGTGTGTGACAGGGTTTCACTGTGCACCCTTGACTCCCCTGGAACTCACTCTGTAGACCAGGCTGGCCTTGAACTCACAGATCCGCCTGTTTGTGTCTCAGGGCACTGAGATTGAAGGTGTGCACTATTGCCCGGCTGTGGGTTGTGTGTGTGTGTGTGTGACAGGGTTTCACTGTGCACCCTTGACTCCCCTGGAACTCACTCTGTAGACCAGGCTGGCCTTGAACTCACAGATCCGCCTGTTTGTGTCTCAGGGCACTGAGGTTGAAGGTGTGCACTATTGCCCGGCTGTGGGTTGTGTGTGTGTGTGTGTGACAGGGTTTCACTGTGCACCCTTGACTCCCCTGGAACTCACTCTGTAGACCAGGCTGGCCTTGAACTCACAGATCCGCCTGTTTGTGTCTCAGGGCACTGAGGTTGAAGGTGTGCACTATTGCCCGGCTGTGGGTTGTGTGTGTGTGTGTGTGAGAGGGTTTCACTGTGCACCCTTGACTCCCCTGGAACTCACTCTGTAGACCAGGCTGGCCTTGAACTCACAGATCCGCCTGTTTGTGTCTCAGGGCACTGAGGTTGAAGGTGTGCACTATTGCCCGGCTGTGGGTTGTGTGTGTGTGTGTGTGACAGGGTTTCACTGTGCACCCTTGACTCCCCTGGAACTCACTCTGTAGACCAGGCTGGCCTTGAACTCACAGATCCGCCTGTTTGTGTCTCAGGGCACTGAGGTTGAAGGTGTGCACTATTGCCCGGCTGCAGACTGCTTTCTTTCATGCACAAGGATCTCTTCAGTCTGCAGCAACACAGTACCTATTTTTTCCTTTTCCTTTAAAAAAAGTACCCATTTGTTTGGTGTGTGTGTGTGTGTGTGTGTGTGTGTGTGTGCGTGCATGTAGAGATAAGAGGGCAACCTATGGAAGTTGATTCTCTCTATACACAATGTGGGTTCTAAGGATCAAAGCCTCGTCACCAGTCTTGGTGGCAAGTGCCTTTACCCACTAAACCATCTCCCTGGTTTCTTAATAAATAGTTTTTGAAGTAATAAAAAAATGAAAATAAAGGGCCAGCAGATAGCTTGACAGGTTAAACCACTTGCCGAATATGCCTGGTGCCTGCCAACCTGAGTCCCATCCCTGGAACCCGCATAAAAAAGTAGGAGAGAACCAGATCCACAAAGTTGTCGAATGACCACACTGTGTGTAAAAATAATAATAAATAAAAATAAGTGAAATGAATTTTAAAACCTTGAAGGGGTGGCACACCTTTCTAGCTCTCAGGAGACCGAGGCAGGAAGACCACACATTTGAAACTAGTTGGGCAATTTAATGATAATATTAAAACTTTAAAAAGTCGCCAAGGTAGGGTTGGAACTCAGTGGTGGAATGTTTTCTTTAGCATGCAACCTGGATTCCATCCTCAGTACTAGATGAAGAGAGAAAGCAGATCTCTCTGTGGGCTACCCTAAATCCCAAATATCACATGTCTGCTGGAATATAAACTGGGGTCCCAGCAATGAGAACTATTGAGGGATTGGGCTGGAGAGACAGCTCAGAAGGTAAGAGCTCTGGCTGCTTTTCCAGAAGACCCAAGTTTGGTTCTCCGCATCCATGTCAGGGGGCTCACAATCACTTGTGGTTCCAGCCCAGGGAATCCAGGGTCTCTGGTCTAAGTGGGTGCCCACATGCAGACACACACACCTACACAGAATTAAAAATCATCATTTTTTTAATCTTAAAAGAGTTATTGAGCCAGGCAGTGGTAGCACATGCCTTTACACCCTAAGAGAGCCACGCAGATCTCTGTGTGTTCAAAGTCAGTCTGGTCTACAAAGTTCCAGGACAGCCAGAGTTGTTACACAGAAAAACTCTGCCTGGGGGAAAAAAGGAATTACTGGGTATCAGGGGGCATGAAATCGTATCTTCTAGAATACTTACATGAATATAACCTTGAAACAGTCTTTATAGTTTTTTACATTACATTTTCTTTTATGAGGGGCTAGAGAAACGGCTCAGTGGCTAGGAAGATACAAAACAAGTGTTTTAGCTGCCTAAACCAGTGTCAGCAGCCTTTCAGGCTCTAACTTGAACACTGTACACTTTCTACATTTTACTACATTGGGGGAAAAGTTCAGTGTCTTCTTACTGCTCCCAGGGTAAAGTCCCAAACTCTTATTACAGTTTGTCTGTCTGGGCAACCTGCTTCCTGTTTACCTTTCCCGCTTCAGCTCCCTGGAACCAAGCTCCCCAGCGCCAGGCAGATGGTTCCTTCCGTCCCAGGGCCTTCACCAGCCATTCCCTCCTCTCCTTCATGGCTCTCCCCGGTGAGCCCTTTCATTACTCTCGGGGTTGCGGGGATGCGGGTTCGGGTTCATGCCTCTAGCAGGCTCTACCAGGCATTTCCTGACCTTCCGGCCTCCATCAAATCCCAGTCCTGTGCTTCTCAGTGCTTATCTCTCTGCAGTTATTACACAAACTCCAGGAAGTCCTCAACCAAGTTTGTTTTGTTGGCTATTTTATCTTAAAACGACTGCTACATAGAAAGCACTTAATGCTTTCCAAATGTGAACTTTGAAAGTGCGGCTCAGATTCGTTTAACAATCCACCAGGCCCAGTCCGTGAGTGAGAGAGAGCCGGGATGCCAGCTCATCAGCACGTCCTGCTGACTCTCTCTGCACAGGGCACCCCAAAATCTCCTCTCACCAACACCCCTGATCCAGTAGCTTCTGCCCAGTCTCTCCTCATTCGCTGGCCGTCTGATTTGGATAAAATGCTAAGACATGGATACTTCCTTAATATAGCAAAACCAATACATCTGTTTAAATTCCCATTGAATGAGAACATGCTAAACGCGAGGGTCGTGGTGGAACAAACATGAACAAGTATGTGCTTACATAAGTGTGTGCTTACATTTTAAAAAAATTCTTCTTATTTATGTATATGCTTGAGTGCTTGCTTGTCTGTATGTGTCCCATGTGCATGCAGTGTCCATGGAGGCCAAAAGAAGGCATCCAATCCGCTAGAGCAAGGGTAACAGGCCGTGGTGAGCTGCCTGATGTAGGTGCTTGGAATTAAACCTGGGTCTTCTGCAAGCATAGCAAGTGTTCTCAACAGTCGAGCCTTATCGGTAGTCCCAAAGTATATGCTTTTTGTTGGTTGGTTTTGGTTTATTCTTGTTTTTGTTGTTTGTCCCAGTTAGGATTCTCTTACTTTGATAAAACATCATGACCAAAAGCAACTTGGGAGGAAAAGGTTTTTTCAACTTACAGCTCATAAATCCATCCTTGAGGGAAGTCAGGGCAGGAACTCAGGGCAGGGACCTAGAGGCAGGATCTGGAGCAGAGGCCATGGAGGAGCGCTGCCTTCCTGGCTTGTTCCATGGCCAATACAGCCTGCTTGCTTATGCTCTCCGGGGCCACCTGCCCAAAGGTGTACCGCCCACAGTACGCTGGGCCCTCCTAAGAAAATGCCACACAGACTTACCTACAGACCAATCTTATGGAGACGTTTTCTCAATTAAGACTCCCTCTTTCCAAACAGGGTGGTGGAGGTGCACATCTTTAATTCCATCGCTCAGGAGGCAGAAGCAGGAGGATCTCTGTGAGTTCCAGGACAGTCATGGGTTACACAGAGAAACCTTGTCTTGAAAAACCAACCAATCAACCAACCAACCAACCAACCAATCAATCAATCAAAATGTCAAAACAAAAAATAAATTGAATTGTCTCATTTCTATAGTACTTAATAATGATAAACACACCTAGGAATGAACAAGACAAGAGGAGGTGAGGAAGGACCGAGGTGCTACTGTCGGATGCAAACAGAAAAGAACCAGCAGACAGACAGGTGTGTTGCATTTCTGACAGGAAGAGCCAACCCCACGAAGATGTCGGCTTTTCCTAATCAATCTGTATACTCAATTCGGAAACCAACCAACAAGAGTTTGTTCCTTACTAGTACAGTGTAGACAGGCATAGTCCTCTGTGTGTGTGTGTGTGTAGCCCTCAGTGTGTGTGTGTGTGTGTGTGTGTGTGTGTGTGTGTGAGAGAGAGAGAGAGAGAGAGAACATGGAGATTAGAGAACGGTTTTTAGGAGTCCGTTTCTCTACTTTTACCATGCGGGTTCTGCAGATCAGAGTTGGTCATCAGGCTTGGCATCCTTGGCATCCAGCGCCCTTACCTGCTGAGCCGTCCTGATGGCCCAGGAATACTATTTCTTTGAGTCCTCCCCCACTTAATTTTATTGAACAGCTTGTAGTAATTTTAAAAATCTAACACATTGGAATGATTATTAAGGATCAGTGTCATCCGGCTCCAGCATGACAGAGATTTATCTTGGTGACGATGTGGCCAAGCATTGCTCTGTGCAGAAGGAAGTTGGATCCAGTTCTCATAGTCAACCTTAAATAACCCATCCACTCAGACTCCTGGGATGTGTGTTTTCTTGCCATACCGTCTTGATGAAGGCCAGCCACTGAGCTCCTAACACTTGGATCCACAAGAGTTGCCTTTTATGGAAGGAACAGTCAGCTCTGAGCAATCTGTCAGGCTCTGGGTCACCTCTGCCGGGTGGTATGGTGGATACATACATGAGCAGCAAGCATTTACCAATGAAGGGGCAAGAGACATTACAGTTTTTTATTATTAATTTTTAATAAACACACACACACACACACACACACACACACACACACACACTGACTGCTCCCTCTGAGCTAAAAGGATTCAGCTAGCCCAGATTTCTGTTCTCCAATTGAGCTGAAGTTGGCCTCCCTCACGGTGGATATAGAGCACCCAATTAATCCTTTCCGCCAACCCTGATTTCCACTGTGCACAGCTGGATGTTTGGGTGTGTGCTGAGATTTGCTGCCTGTGAAAGACAGGACCACTGAAAGACATTTATGCAGGGCTACTTGGGCACAAACCCCTTGCCATTTGCAGCTGACTTGCACAAATGACTCCCTCTGAGTCTGTCTTCTCCTGTGTCAAGGGAGTACATGCCTCGGTTTCTGAGAGGACCAAGTCGGTCCATATTGTAGGTGTTTTGAATGCCTACAATATTTCTCTGCAAATACTCAGACACTGGTGCTTAATATGGACACTCTCTGAACCAATCCTAGGGACCCCTTCCAGGAGCACCTTTGAAGGACGATATTTTTGTGTCTTCAACTTTGCCGTTGATTTTGTCCTAATGGTCTAGTGTTTCTCTATAAAACCCGAGAAAGGCTCTCAATCTTGACTTTATTTGCAGGTGGTTACAATTTATAAATACACTTGCCATTTTTCTCCTGTTCTCCTGGATACCTGATAACGATACCCAACCCCCCACTCTCACTGTCTCACCATCCTCTCCCCCAGGAGCAAGGGAGGGATGCTCCTCCACGTGGCTTTATCTTCACCCAGGGTCTGTCTTGGTCCACATGGTATGAGTCCTCAAGGCCTGTGAAAGTTGAGGATGAGCACCATGAAGCCTTGCAAGGTCCCGGGGATGTCCTTGCCACTGACCCTGTGACCTGTTCCCTCCTTTGCCATGTTTAAGGGGCAGGGAGGCATGGTGGGCAGCGGCTAGGGTCACAAGCCTTGCCTGTGTCTGAGGCTGAATGTGTGCAGCCTCTGGGACTGGTGGGTCCGCCACAAAGTCTCAGTCTCGCTCAGACAGTAGTCAGTCCTGGGCAGGCACTGTGCCTTGCCAGTGTCCGGTTCTGCTCTGAAGAGGTGTCTGAGGCTTAGTCTCTTAGGCTTCTGCTTCTCAGAGCCTCCCCAGACCCTGTGAGTTCTGGTGGGTAGAGCAGCCTCGAGGAGAAGGTGCTGGACTCTCTGTCCTCCTTGCCTTTCTCAGATACCATCAGGCATCAGGCGGCATGTAGGTTCCTCGGCCCTGTCAGAGGGCATGGCACCCTAGTGTCTCTGTCTCAGCCAGATGCCAAGCTTTGCCATCTTCCTGGTAAGGTGTGGAGAGCACAGAAGGATCAGGGGCTCCTTCTTCAGGAGTGGGGTATGGAGGGTCAGGGGAAGCGGGGGGATCTCCAGGACCCCGTGTTCCCCCCAGCACTGGCCCATTGTATATATAGATATTGCCAGTGACAGTCACGGAACCTCCGGTCACATGAATGCCATTTGCACCTGTGGGAGAGAAGGCGAAATGAGAAGGGTATTTCCGGAATTCTCCTTCCTCGCAATTCCACCTCTCATTTGCTATTCCTTCCTCTGAGTCAGAGTCTCACATAGCCCAGGCTGGCCTAAAATGGCTGTGTAGTGAAGGATGGCTCTGATATCCTGGTCCTCCTGTTTCCAGTGCTGGGGATGCAGGTGTGCCCACATCCCAGCTTCTCTATAGCTCTCTGAGGTGCTGAACACACTCCTCTGTTTCTCTCAGACTCTTCCCTTCTGTTTTGCCTCTGGATCTTTTTATTTCATCTGGACCTTATTCTTTTTCCCTGTCAACCACTGCCATCCCTCCCTTCCTCCCCACACTCCTTTCTCCCCATGGCTTGTCCAGCTCACCGTGGGCCACCTGGCTGTGTTCCCCGGGCTCAGTCTCCAGCTCCCTAGCCTGGACCAGGGGACTCTGCTGTTGAAGCACCACTTCCTCCAAGACTGGGGTAACTGGGGGTCCAGCAGGGGCTGGGGACAAGTCCCCAGATGTGGGTAGTAGTGGCTCGGCCAGGTCAGGGAAATCTGGGTTGGCTCTTGGAGGGGGGCAGGGGGGAGATTCTTCTCCCTGTAGAAGAGAAAGAGAGAAGCAGCCGACATCAGAGGCTAGACTTCATTGTACCTTAGTCCCCACGCCCTTTCCCTTGTGTTCTGGCAATGCATTCGTTGTCTGCATCTGTGCCTCACCATGCCTCAGGACCTTTGCACTCGATGCTTCTCCAGTTCCTAGAGCACTTTCTTCAAGAGTCCCCTCGTTAGCTCCCTTATTTCTTCAACTCCCTGCTCGAGTCACCAGTGCATCCGAGAGGCCTTCCCTGCCCACCTGCCACTCACTGGCCAGCTCACTTTCATTACGGCTGCCACCTGATACACAATTATTCTTTATATATCATTATTATTGCTGTCATGGTTTTGTTGTGTTTGAGACAGGCTCTTATTCTAGCCCAGGCTGCCCTGAATTTCACTATAGAACCCCAGGCTGGCCACAAACTCATGGTGAGCCTTCTGTCTCAGTCTCCAAGTGCCGTGATGGTACAATTGTGATTGTGCCACCCCTCGGTGATACTGGCAACGGAGCCCAGGTCCTTGTACATGCTAGCTAAGGGCCCTAACATCCCAGCCTTTGAATTTTATTCTTTCGCAGACTCCAGGGAGGGAGGCTCTTCCTCAGCCTGTATGCTGGTGCCAGGCATGGCGGCTGGAACAAGGCCTCTCAGCAAGCAATCAGTGGAATGAACGGAGTACACCTTCCTGACCTCGCCGCCCCGCCCCTCCTTGCTGAGTTCTTCTACTCCTTTACCTCTGGATGTCGCTTGAGCAGAGTACCTGAAATGAAAACCAAAACGGGTTGAGAGGCCTGCAGTTCCTAACCTTCAACCCCTGTCCCCACCACCGTGTGCTGCCAACCCTAGGGTCCTAGCGGAAGTCAGTACAGCTACCCTCATCTCTAGCCTCGGCATGAGAGGCTAGAGAGAGTATCCAGCACCCAAGAGCCTTGTGCACCAGAGTTTGTCCTTGAATATCCCTCCCCTCCACTGCCACCTCCACGTGTCTCCTTCCTACCCAGCTTTCTGCAGAGAGAGGGGTGCCTCATCCAGGTGCAGGCCAGGGTGGTGCTGAAGAGCAGAAGACAGACCAGTGGCAGCAGAACGGCCAGCAGCAGCATTGTTCCTGCCAGGAAGGCAGACAAGAGTGAGGCCACCAGAGGACGGGGGTGGGGGAGGTAGGGGGTGAGGATGGGGGGTGCTTCTCCCAGACATCAGGCAGCCTTTTCCCTCTTTGGAGCCATTTACTGTGACAAGGGACGGAGGCTGACTTCGGGAAGGATCTCTTGACCACATGAGGGACTGCCCTGAGTGGTGATGTCTAGAACGCTTGCAGTCAGTACATGAAGGATGCTTTGACTGCTGGTTTTCAAGGCCAGAAGTATGTGAAAGGCAGCAGGGAGGGGAGGTGGAGTTTGGGTCTAAGGGGGAGAGCCCCGGTTCTGTAACCGGACCTGAGATTGCGCCTGTGAGAACCTTACTTCTGAGCCCAGTCTATGGCTCTCGGGGAGAGTAAGAGTTCCAAGCTGCCCACTCCTTTGCACATGGCGGGGCTCAGGAAGGAAAGCGGCAGAGAGAGAGGACTTTGGTTTCCCAGGCTTGCCCACACTGATTCACCCACAGCTGTGGCTGAAGGGAGGGAAGAATGCCAAGTCACGGAGAGAAACTGAACCAGGAGTCTGCACACCTAGGAGCCTGTCTTTTAAGTCAGTTTGCCTATTCAAGCACTGGTCTGTCAGATGTAAAAGAAGCAGTTAACAGACCCACTGGCTAAAACCCTAGCTCTGGAATGCTAGTGACAGTGATGTCTGTCCTTGACATTTGATGCAGAGTTGAGAATTTCTGAGAGGTCATAGGAAAATATTTATGATCACTGTTAACTAAAAGGCTAGGATATAGGCGATGGGGGATAGCTCAGCGGTTCGCATCTACTCAACGTGTGTCAACTCCCCCCTCAAAAAATGTCACATGATAAACACTTTTATTACTCCACTCTTAGTAAAGAAAAAAAAATATACAACTAGAAATGCATAGGAACGGAGCCAGACGGAGACGTAAGAGGAGAAGGGCTCTAAGTTCAGTGGGTGAAGTTTAGTTAATTTTTATCCTCTCTCCCTGCTCCCTCTCTCAGAGATCAGGTCTCATCAGGCCCAACCTCAAAGTCCTGCCTCCACCTCCCAGTGCAGGGGTGACAGGCATGTGCCACCACACCTGGGACACATTCTCAAAAAGTTTTATAGCACGTGTACCTTATAAACGGGCCCCATGTGAGAAAGACTCAGACACAGACGCAAATCACAAGATTTACACCCCACCCCTACCCCGGGGGGTGATCTCAGGCAAACCATTTAATGCCTCAGTTTCCTCTTCCCATCGGTGAGGGTGAACAACTCCACTTTACAGAATTATTGAGCAGAGTAAGTGGGATCACTGAGGGGCTCGGGGTAGCTCGCAATACCTGGAAGCTATAACCACAAATCTCTGCCCATTCAGAAATGCTACTCCATTCTGCCAGTTAGCAATGGTTACAGTCTTCAGAACAACCCTCAGTCAGCCACCAGGCTGGGAAACCCGTGAGCTTCCTAGAAGACGGGAAACCAAGAGAAACCTAGAAAGAGTCAGATGAGGAGCATGACTCCTCATCGTGTGTAACTGAACAATGAGGTATTCGGTTAGGAAAGGAATCCTGCGGGGAGGCCGAGAATGGAAGGGACTTCAGGATAATGACAGAGTCAGCCGGAATTACATCGCAGCACACGGGCGTTTCCTAGCATAGCAGATGTAATTTTTATAGTGTGTAAGAATATAGTCTATTCCCACCCCCGAGACAGTCTCACTCAGGAGCCCAGGCTGCCCCCAAACTCTTGATCCTCCTGCCTCGATCCTCTAAGTGCTGGGGATGAAATGGGTATGCCACCACACCTAGCTTTCCAAGTCTTGTTTCTTCTTTAGGTGGCACTTAGGTTCAAACCTAGGGCCTCATGCATCCCAGGCAAGCACCCTGCCACTATGCCAGCCTCCTCCAATGGCTTTAGAAGGAATGTTTCTTTCTTGACCTAATCCTGGGAGGAAAGATGCACATTTCCCCGTTTTTCTGGATGAGGAAGACGAGGCGTTTCCCCCAGATCCTGCCTTTTGGACCTCAGCCCCACCTCTCACCTGGCTCTGATGGATTTCTACAGATGGTGTCAGAGCTGGCACTGCCTGGAGCCACCTCCACCAGGCCCTGGGTCTCACATCTGTGGAGGAAACAGGACTGTGAGCTCTTGCTGTTCTCCTTGGTACCTGGTGCTCTAGGAACACATGGTGTGGGAATGGCCAGGCGAGCATATGAAGCCAAAGATGACGGGAATGACAACAGTAGGGCTTCCTGGAGTTGGGTGGAAGTCTGGGAAGGGGCACTCTCACCTGGTATGGGGTTGGCAGCGGGCTGTAGGGGAAGAAGTGTTCTGGAAATATCCTGGCTTGCAGGGGACACAGGCGATGTCAGTATCCATAGCTTCATCTGGCAAAAGAAAGGCAGGCCAGTCAGAGTGAGTGGACAAGTGTGAGCCTAGCTGTGGGCTTCTTGATGCCTCCTTCATGCCAAGCCTTCATGCCAATATAACTGTTACCTTCCCAGCTTGGCTTTAGCCTGCCCATTTCCCCAGGCTTCCCCAATGCTGACAGGAGCCACCTTCTAAGTACCTCACACCTGTCCCAATTCATGACTTGGCAGACCCCAGCCTGTGAGCCTTTTGCAAGGAACGATATTTTCTGTCAAAGAGAACTCCAGTGGGGAGTCCCCAAAGGACACCTTGCAGAGCTCCTAGCCTCCTTTCACTGGCTGCCTTCAGTGACCTCTGACCTGTAACCTCGGCTTCGGTGCCAGGCTGGCACACTACAGGTTGCTCGCAGTGCACACACTCATTGTCCAGATACACACAGGTCATCCCTGGCTTACAGCGACACTCAGGTTTTCGATCACTGGCGCAAGCGGCAACCTCCTCGAAGCCCAGCACTGGGAGGGAGAGGAGAGGGAGAGTCAGAGAGGGACTGGGGCAGAGAGGGGCCGGGGTCGCAGCTGTATCCATCATCCAGGTGGATCCCCACTCACCAGCGTCACAAGAGCGGCAGAGCTGGCAGATGGAGAGATGGTTCCAGTATTCATTGTAGTAATTATCGGGGCAAGTCTCGCAAGCTGTGTCTTGGCTGTGGCTGCATACAGCGGAGACAAACTTGCCTGGGAGGGGAAGAGGGGTATCAGGAGTCTATCTCCGCCACTCGCTGCACGCCACAGAGCCCCTCCTTGGCCTCTTTGTCCCCATCCCGTCTTCATGGCTATGCAGCCACCTCTTCAAGTCTCAGTGGCCGTGTGACAATGGCTAATGCTTCTCCCGTCTCTCTCTCCCATCTAGGTTTACCAGTGTTGGTGTCATTCGGACCCACCTCTACCACCCGGGCTTCCTGGGGCCACTGTTCTCACCTGGGGGACAGCGGGAGCAGCAGACTTGATGCTTAGGCTCGTAGTATTCCTTCTCCTGATCCCAGCAAGTTTGGTTTTCTATGCGATACGGGGGCACCTTCCAGGGGGAGGCGGAGACAGAGAACAAGGCAGGGTCAGCTCTGTGGGAAGAAGGGCTGGAGAGAAATTTGCCCAGGCCCTCTTTCTCACCTGGCCCATCCCACCTAGCCCCTCCCTCACCAGCAGGGGCTGGGCTGCCATCAGGATCCCGCAGAGTCCCAGCAGAAGTGGCCCCCAGACCAGGCCGCAGGGAGAGGCCCCAGGCAGGCGCATGGCGGCCTTTCGGGTCGGCTGACCAGACCGGGTGGAGGCCTGGGAGGAAGGTGGGAAGCCCGGACGTCCTGAGCAGCGTTGGCCACGACTTCCCAAGCCTGGCGGCTGGGCCGACGTGCCCCCGGGGGCCGGGAGCGGCCGGGCCTGGCCTCCAGGGCTCCAGCGCCGGGCTCAGGAAGTGGGAGTGGAGAGAGCCGGCCGGGGGCGGGGGCAGGGAGCTCTGGGAGCAGAGGCCGGCCTGTCGCAATCGCGACCGGGGAAGAGGAACAGGCTTGGCCGCCTCGACGCAGGGCGGGAGGGGGGTGGCCGGGAAAGCACGTGAGAGCTGCAGGCCCGGAACCCGGGCCTCCACCTTTCTTCTTAAGCCTGGCCCTCAGAGGGGCTGCAGATCAGGAACACCCGCTGGCGGAAAAGGGGCGGCAGAGTCCGTAACTAGCCGCCGTCTGTCAAGCCGACCACCGACAGCCTGGGGCAGAGCTGACCTGGGAACACATGGATGTTGAGGCAGAGCAGTGGGCAGCTGGGTGCCAGATTTGCAAAGCGGATGCACCAGGGATTGACAGAGCACCCGGTGGAGACACCCAGAGGTGGCTAGCAGATGCAGAGCCTGGCCCATCATCCCACTTGGCAGAAACTGAGGGCCTGCTCCACTCTGTATTTTAGAGAAAAGCTACCACAGTAAGAAGCCGCTGGGCCTCCACCCTGCTGGCCCACCCACATCACACACTATTGGGCACACCACAAGACATTGGAGAGAGTGCAGCTGGCCCTGGACCTGTCCTTCTGTCCTCTGGGGATCTCTCCTAAAGGGAGAATGGGGAAAGATGTGAAAACCTAGGTCCTGGTGAGTTGGGGACCTCTGGGCTGGGGCTGGGTAGCCCAATTCCAGCTTGCATGCCCATAAGCCTGTACCTGAGAGGCCAGCCTTCCCTCTGGAGAAGACCTGCTCAGGGTGCCAGGCAGAGGAGTGCAGTTCCAAGGTTGTGGCTTTTTCTTCCCACTCTTATTAGCCCAGAGCTGCTTGCAGTTTTGTGAGGCCCCCTCTTCCCCCTTCCACTGGCTGACACCCCCAAGCCCCACCCAACACACTCTCCAAATTCCAGTCCGCGCTTCCAGGAAGCAGCTACAGAGCCCTCAAGGAAGACTAATGTCTGCTTTGTGCCGTCTGTCTGCTCCCTGTGAGGCTATGGACTGGCCTATTGCCTGGTTAGGATGTTGAGTCTGGGCTCACAGAGGTTAGCATGATCTGGCTTAGGCCACATGCCAGGTCCACATTCAGGGAATAAATGAAGGCTGTCCACACTAGGCTACTCTGGCAGAACCTACCTGCAGTCAGGCCTGAATTTCAGATCCCAGCTCAGGTCAGCATCCATCCTGACTTCCTTGGGACGAGGGGAGGTCTTCACCTGAGAACTGGCTGTCTTCATGGCAGATCAGGTATCCAGACAGGCTTTCGGGAGACATGTGACTCGGGAACAGGAGTGAGTTGTAGAAAAGACTGGGGGAGGGGGGGGGGCTGAGAGGTGACTCAGAGAGCCATTGCTCTTAAGAGCATTGCCTGCTCTTCCAAAGGTCCTGAGTTCAATTCACAGCAACTACATGGTGGCTCACAACCATCTGTAATGAGATCTGGTGCCCTCTTCTGGCCTGCAGGCATATACACGCAGACAGAATTTTTTTTTAAATTTATTTATTTATTAAAGATTTCTGTCTCTTCCCCACCACCTCCTCCCATTTCCCTCCTCCTCCCCCAATCAAGTCCCCCTCCCTCGTCAGCCCAAAGAGCAATCAGGGTTCCCTGCCCTGTGGGAAGTCCAAGGAACCCCCACCTCCATCCAGGTCTAGTAAGGTGAGCATCCAAACTGCCTAGGCTCCCACAAAGCCAGTACGTGCAGTAGGATCAAAAACCCATTGCCATTGTTCTTGAGTTCTCAGTAGTCCTCATTGTCCGCTATGTTCAGCGAGTCTGGTTTTATCCCAGGCTTTTTCAGATCCAGGCCAGCTGGCCTTGGTGGGTTCCCGATAGAACATCCCCATTGTCTCAGTGTGTGGGTGCACCCCTCGCGGTCCTGAGTTCCTTGATCACACAGACAGAATATTGTATACATAATAAATAAATAAATATTTAAAAAGAAAGAAAAGACTGAGGGAACCTACCTGGGATTTATGTCACCCTGTCTCCTCACAGGGTGTAGGCCCAGTAGCTACACTCTGCTGGCAACTGCCGTTAGCAAGTAGTCCAAGACCAAGGCCACCAGGCGTGAGGGAAGAGATACCTAATAGCAGACCAGCTCTGGCTTCTCTTCCTTCTAGGCCAAGGGAGCTGGGGTAGGGACTAGACTCACTTGGATCTCTCTGTAACATAAAGGAACAGGTATGTAGCAGTCTTAGGTAAATTCCACTCTTCTTTTTATGTTTTATTAAGAAAACTTCCCATGTACTATCCAAAAAGAGATCAAATAGTATTGGGGTTCTCCTTGTGGTCATTACCTAGCTTTAACTCACGGCCGGTCTTCCTCCTTCACATAGTGTGCGCATCTTAAAGCTTGTCAGTCTTCACATACAGATGAGTGGATTTTCACTTGAATTTTTTTACTTATTTATTTGTATGTGTATATAGCAAGCGTAACACAATTCTAATTGGTCTTAATAATAAAAACCGGAGTTGGGTATTAAGGGGTGAAAGTTGAGAGATCAGAGACGCTGTGCAGCCAGCCACTAGAGACCTTTTACCTCTTCCGAATCCTGAAACCAAACAGGCAATGCTGTCCTCAGACTGCCTCCCCAGACTGCTACCTCAGACTGCAAAGAACTCCTCCTGTCTCTTCCCGCGGGATCCCAAGTGCTGGAACCAGCTTTCTGTGAGCTGTTTCTCTTAAAGACTGGATCGATTTCGTGGAGCCCAGGGCGGCCTAGAACAAACAGATTCACCTGCATCTGTCTCCCAACTCCTGGGATTAAATGTGTGTGCCACCACGGCTGGCCTCTAGTGGTTTAACTCTGCACTCTGATCTCCAGGGAAGCTTGATTTGTTAAAACACAAACAAATTATCACTACAAGTAAATGTGGGACTATGGACACTTTCCCAATCAGAACTCGGAAAGGTGGGGAGATGCTACCAGACCTGGCAGCCTACAGGGACTTAATACAAAATGGTTATTACACTGCCCCTCCGACCTTCTTCAGGAGGGCGGAGACTTCAGGGTGAGAAACCCTCCAATTCTTAGCGAGCACCGCATCATCTTTGTTCTTTCCTCTTCTGCGTTTTCCTACCTCCTGGAAACTTTGATCGATGTCCACTGGACACACCAGATGGGGAGACTCCCAGAAGGCATGAAGGGCTCTTCTCCCAGGCCTTCTTCACGGAGGCTTACTGAACTACCCTTCTCCCCGCAGCCCATGAGTCCCTCCAAACACTCCTGTCTTCTTCATCACACTTCCATTAGCCAACTGATGCCCTTAGTCAACCCAGTTGGGCTGGGAGACACTGAGAAATGAATGTAGCACATAGAAGTGGACTGTCTCAGTGTTTGGACAAAGCCTTACCTAGTTATTCTCAGTCTTGGTAACTTTGCTCCCCAGAAGACATTTGGCAATATCTTAAGACATCTTAGGTTGCAGGTGCTTGGAATTCCCACTGTCACCTAGTGCAGAGAGACCAGTGGTATTGCTGTGACCTGCAGTGCAAGACAGGCCCAGACAGCAAGGAGTTGCACGGCTAGGAATGCCAGCAGCGCTGAAGTTGTTAAGCCCTGTACTGACCGAAGGGAACTCCTAAGCATCTTTCCAGGTCACTAAACTGAGGACGGCAGAGAGAAATCTTCTGGACCATCACATTGGGTTTATACACATAATGGAGCAAAAAAGGATGCTCTTTGCCATAGTAGACAGCCTTGTAGTTAGAACTAAATCTAAGAGTAAAGGGGTTCTTAAATGACTTGTTTTTATACTAGAAAGCATAAAAGCTGAAAAGGGAAAAGTAGAGGAAATTTCAATAAATTAACATACCACAAATCAAAACAATCTACCTCAAGACCCAGCACTACTGCTCTTGTGTATATACCCAAAAGACACTCAATCACACCACAAGGACATGTGCTCAACCATGTTTATAGCAGCATTATTTGTCATAGCCAGAACCTGGAAACAACCTAGATGCCTCTCAGCTGAAGAATGGATAAAGAAAATGTGGTATATTTACACAAAGGAGTATTACACAGAGGTAAAAAATAATGACATTTTGAAATTTGCAGGCAAATGGATGGATCTAGAAAAAAAACATTGAAGCTGGGCGGTGGTGGCTCACGCCTTTAATCCCAGCACTTGGGAGGCAGAGGCAGGCAGATCTCTTGAGTTCGAGGCCAATCTGGTCTACAAGAGCTAGTTCCAGGACAGGCTCCAAAAGCTCCAGAGAAACCCTGTCTTGAAAAAAAGAAAAAGAAAAAAAAACATATTGAGTAAGGTAACCCAGATCCAGAAAGACAAATATATGTTCTCACTCATAAGTGGTTTTTAAACATAAAGCAAAGAAACACCAGCCTATAATCCACAACCCTAGAGAACCCAGGCAACAAAGAGAACCCAAAGAGAGAGACATACATGGATCTACATAGGAAGGAAAAAAAGACAAGATCTCCTGAGTAAATTGGGAGCGTGGGGATCATGGAAGAGGGTAGAAGGGGAGAGGGGAATAAGGGAGGGGAGTGAAGACAGTGATTCCATCTAGGAATAAGGGAAGAAAAACATATAGCTCAATAAAAACAATAAAAAATACCACAAATCAATGTGCTATCTGAGGAAGTCAAGGTGTTTGATGTTTTCCAGTGCACAAGCCTCTCTGTCAAAGATAAACCTTGGATCCTAGCCAAGATCTGCAGAGTGGGTCAACAAGTAGTGACCATTAAGTTGGGCAGGGAGGCATACATTTGTAACTTTCGCACTTGGAGGATGAGGCAGGAGGATCAGGAATTTGAGAGTAGTGTGGGCCCCACGGTAAGTATCTCAGAAGCAAAACAAAAACAACAATCACAAGTCACAGAAGTCACTGAGATAAATTAACCTGGTGCTTGTCCTGGAAGAACTCGTGAAATGATCTACACACATGTAGGCATGTGCATGTAAACACAGGAGCACATGTGGGCCAGTTCCTTAACAGTAAACATCAGGAGGTGTTGAGCTAGGCTTTCCTTGGAAGTGTGGAGGAGACAGTGATTCCATCTAGTCTTCTGTCTCTGGGATAAA